TGGAACGGTGGCCCATGCCTTTAATCCCAGTACTTGGGAGGCAGGTAGATCTCTAGGAGATTGAGGTCAGCCTGGTGACTGGAAAATAGATAAATAAATGAATAAATAAATAAACAAGCACATGAATAATATTTTTGGTCTCTTTTTGAGACAGGGTCTTCCTGTAGTCCCAGCTGACCTGGAACTCGCTATGTAGACCAGGCAGGCCTTGAACTCACAAAGATCTTCCTGCCTCTGCCTCCTGAGAGCTGGGATTAATGGCGTGCACCACCATGCTGAACATGAGTAATTTTTTTACATACTTTGTATGTCAACACTGTGTTGGCTAAACAAAGCATACTCTCAGAGGCAATGTAGAGACTATTCGCCTATTACATTGTTTTCACTACATATATATATATACTTCACTAAATATATATATATATATATATTTATGGTGGAACTTTTGAAATGTACATACATTGTAGATGAAGATAATATCTGCATTACCTTACATTCTTAATATTTTTTTGAGGTAAGAACATTTAAGATTTACTGGATGATTTCCATTCAGTCATTACTATTAACTGTGGTTACTCTGTTGCACAATAGATTTCTTGAATTCCTCCCATCTAACTGGAATTTGGAGTCCTTCCACCTGCCTTCCCTCTAACAGGACAACTAGCAGACAATCACCTTTCCATTCCCTACTCCTCTGAGTTCAATTTTTAAAAAAATTCTGCATGTAAGTGAGGTCGTGTAGTACTTGTCTCTCTGTAAACATAGGCTCTATTTTCAGAATCAGGCCCAAATCTTTGCAGGCATTCATGTGGAAAACAGTTTACTAGGACCAAAGATCCTTTTGTGAAGATGTCTAACTACCAAACCACCTTCAGCAAGAAGTTTGGAGCCTTAAGTCCACACTGAGCTTATTCTGACTTGAGGCCTTGCTTGCTTGCTCAAGATCTTGTTTTTGGAAACTAAAAGTGTTAATGTTTCTAAATCTTACATTTTTTCTGGGCTTACAGACTTTAGAAGTAACTAAGTAGGTGATACTGCATGGCTGGGCTAAGGGACAGTGTGCTATGAATGAAGAAATACAAAGGTTTGGCAAGTTTATTCCAGTCTACCACTTAAAACAGTCCCCATGAAGCTGTCCGCCTAGCTGTCCACATTTGCTGATGAAATTTACAATCGGATTTGCTGATTTCCAAGGCTGGCCTTCCTCAAAATGTGTAATCTCACACTGAATTCACCCTCATCTTCACTGAGTCTGTTCTCTCCTTCTACCAAGTGGGTCCCAGGGATCCAACTCAGGTCCACAGGCTTTGCAGCAGGCCCTTTTATTGAACCATCTCTCCTGTTTCCTCTTCTATTAACTTATTTTATTAGTTTTTTTTTAGGGTGCTGGGGATCAAACTCAGAGCCTTCAACATGCTATGCAAACACTCTACCATCGAGCTACATACACCTTAGCCTCAAGAAACATTTCCTTAAAAATTATAAAAATAACAAATAAAATGAATGATTAAAATTATGGTAATTCTAGTTAATTTAATAACTAACCTCTCTATAATCATGTATGTATACAGACGAGGGTCACAAAATTTAAAAATGCTTCTATTAGGATGATGAAAGAATGAAGGACTTTACAACATTTACTTTTAATTTCGCTTTGTTTGGGCAGTTTTTCTATACTTAGCTACTCGGAAAGAAGAGGATTCATTGTCCTGCAATTGGTTTCAAGTTGCTTTTTATTACATGATTCCAGTTTTAAATCATGTACTTTTATTATTTCAGGACCTAATTAGGTGATCTCTAGTACCTATTAGAAAACATGTGCTTGGTAAGGGACTTTTGAGATCAAGAAAATTCACCCAAAACACAAGTTACAAGGGGCTTTTGAGGGGGGATTTCCTTATTCAAGTTTCTAAGTATCTCAGAAAAATAATGATTCTCTCCAACTGGCAATTGGGCTGTGGTGATCAGCCTCCCCCGATAGCATTCCATAGCCTTCAGAAAATGCTTTGAAATACTGCCACTGACACCCTAAGACTATTCCACGCTCTCAAAGAGCATACCAAGAGGTAGTATCAAACCTTGGTTCACTAGCTTTGTTTTGCCTTTGACCCCCTTCCCTTAATCTCGGTTCAAGGAATGAAATCTCTTTTTCTAAATTAAACCTCAACATCCATCGCATGGGCAATAGAACACTTCCACCTGTAACTAATAGTGGGGGGCTCGGATGGTCTCCAAACAACTTATTTTTGCTTCTCAATCTTGCCATCATTGTTGCTTGTATTTGAGGCTAGGGAGATGGTTTAGTTGTTAAAGTGCCTGCCATACAAGTACAGAGACTTGAGTCCAGGCCCCCAGAACTCACAAAACTTGTATTTTCTCATCCTGGCTGTTAATGATATTATTATATTTAATAACATTATTACATTTGTAAAACATTCAAATTTCTTGTGATATAAGCCCTTTCAAACATAGAAACATATTTCATGTTTCTAGGAAAATAATTAAATTATAAATTAAACAACTGCCTTTGTCCACCTCTTCAAAACAAAACAAAAATCCAAAGTTGTATGATTCTTCTGTATGATTACTTATAAATATGTTGTTTTCAAAACAGCACCCTTTCCCTCAACTATAATTTTGTAACAGCTGCTCTAGGAAAAGTGAAGAAATGGGTAATGATAGGTCACATGCCAGGGTATGCAGGACAAAACCTAGAAGGACCATGTACTCTTTCACACACACATATAAACAAACAAACAAACAAATAAATAAATAAATAAATAAATAGGACTATGTCCTCTAAAAATTTGTGAAGGATTTAGAATTTCAAACTTATGGGACTAGAGAGATGGCTCAGTGCTTAAGAGCACTGGCTGCTCTTGCAGAGGACCCACGTTCAATTCCCAGCACCCACATGGCAGCTAAAAACTGTTGGCAACTCCAGTTCCAGGGAATCTGACACTCTCTTCTGACCTCCTCCGGCACTGTACAACACGGGTACACTTACATGCATGCAGGCAATACACTCATACACATAAAATAATAAAATGTTTTAAAAAAGAATTTCAAACATTTTCATTGGGAAAAAAAAAGCTTAGAAGCAAAGAGACAGAAAATAATCTTCAAGAATCAGAGAAGGGAGAGACCTTTGAGAGGGATGGTTGCTAAATCTGTAATAATACTAGAGACAGGAGGACTAAGGGATGAGAGGAGAGAAGCAGGAAGTTCCCCAAATCTACTCCCAGGAAAAATATTTATTGAAATTTGTTCTGTGCTCCTTGCAATTCCCTCTCTACCTCCATGTTATGCTACTACTGAGGGAAATGGGAGGCACAAAAGCAAGCATTTTCAGGAGACATACACAGTGACCCTGTACTAGGAAAACGGGTAAGATAGGCAAGTGGTTCGAGGGCAGGTTCTGAGTAACTGAATTTAGAAGAGTAATACGGGTAGGGGATACTATAAAACGCAAGCAATGATTAGGTAGGTGATAGGGCTATCCCATTTTTAAATTTTACTCATCTGTCTTTACATTATTTAGTAAATTTTAATATCTTAGGCCATAGCTAATAAAACAGATTATACTTAATGTTAATATTGCTGAGATACTAATCTGTGCATAAAACTGCGCGTGTACGTACATGCACGTGTGTGCATTTTCGCTTTTGGGAACGGGCACTTGAGGCCCACATCCCATAGTAAAGCGGCAACTGCGCCTAAGTTAAGAACAGCTCCAGGCCTTGGAGATTTTGATTCTTGACTAAATTTGCTATCCAAGAACTGTTTCCAAGCGACCCATGCTGCAACAGTGGGGTGGTGATAAGGAAGTTTACACTGGGCTTGATCTTAAAAATTCCTTAAAGAAGTTCATAAAGGAGGCCGAAAGCATCGGGGGCTTTTTTTCTCTCATAAAATGGTGCCAGACAATCACAGCCTTTGGCATTCTACTTTTGAAATATTCTGGAAATCATATGCAATCAACAAAGTGCTTGAGCCTTGGACTTGGGTGTGAGTTCAAGCCCAGTTCTGCTTTTACTAGCTGAGTGATCTCTCATTGCTTAAGTTCTTTGATTCTCATTTCACCTCCTAAAATGGAGAGGAGGCTGTCTTCCTTCTCAGCTGCTGTGAAAATCGGTTTTAGATCATTGTGTCCAGGAGTTCTTTGGGACCAATAAAATAATGCGTTCAACCTTAGCACTGGATTGAACCTTCGGGGGTCAATCAAGTCCCTTTGATTAGCCAACACGAAGCTTGCATTTCAAGTTAGAAGACTCTCCGAAAGGGGCCGCTGGAGCTGAGGCCAAAGGCGGTGCTGGTGTGCGCTGAGAGCCACCGCTGGCTGGGACCCGAGGCCAAGGCATCCTTTGAGCGGCCTTGGGAACCTGCCCCGAGGAGCCAGCGACAAAGAAGAAGAAAGGGGACAGAACAGAACCAAAAATACACCCGGCAGCGACCCGCGGCTGTAAGAAGCGGAATTCCCGGAAGGAACAAAATAAGTTTCTTTTTTCTGCGTTGCCACAAGAATGTAAACAAATCTCCGAAGGCTCATTGGCCCAGAGTTTTCCGAAGAGGAACGGGAGGGTCCTAACCCTCCGGAGGTGCCCCTGCCCAGAGCCGACCTGCTCGCTAAGACTGTCCAGAGCCGCAGGTGCCGCGCGCACCCATCTTTGCCCGGGCATGCAAGGTCAGAGCTGCCCTGTCCCTCGTCTCTCGTCGCCTGCCGCGCCAAAGCCACCCAGGCCGCCTTCCCAAACCCCGGCGATTCCCCGCGCACAGTTCCACAAATCAGCTGGGTATGAGCCGCTGGATCAGCAGCCTTCGCACCAGGCCCCAGAGAAGGAGCTGGCCCGGCTTTCGGAGCACCAGAGTTGGAAGGAAAGTCCTGGCAGCCCGTGGGGGAGGCTGTCATAAATGCAAGCCGCGTCCCAATTCCCACGCGCTGGACCCCAACTCCACAGCATCCCTCGTCCCACGCATCCCCTGGCGGGTCCCAGGCTCACCAGGGGCAGGATAGCCCAGATCCTCAGCATGGCTGTGCTGCGGTCCGCCCAGGCCTCTCCACTGCCCCGCACAGCAGTCACCCACGCGGGCAGAGGTGACAGTCCGCCGGCTTCGTCTTGGGCACCGGCTGGCCTCCGGGTGTGCCCTCTGCCGGCCCGCCCCTGTGCGCCTTGCCAGCGAAGTTGTTCTCAAACCGCTTCCCTCTGTCTCAGCTGAAGTCGCTGTGAACACCCTCGGGCACCGGCTGGCCTCGGGGTGTGCCCTCTGCCGGCCCGCCCCTGTGCGCCTTGCCAGCAAAGTTGTTCTCAAACCGCTTCCCTCTGTCTCAGCTGAAGTCGCTGTGAACACCTGCCTGTCACTCTCCTGAGGGACCAGACTGGACCTCACGAAAAGCCCCAGGGTCTGGGAGGAAGCGCTGCTGGTCTTGGGGAACTCCATTGATTCAGCAACTTAGCTCGCGAGTCTGGGTAGAGGGAAGCCAGGGTGGGGGAGGGAGTCGGCTTGATTGCACAAACGGGCATTCCCCATCCTGGGTGCTTCCGTCACGAGCTCAGCTCAGGTGAGAGCCCCGTCCTTCCTCCACTTTTGCTGTAGCTCACCCTGGAAAGGTTGAGGAAACTCCAGAACTCTGAGGTTATGTTTGGCTAGGTGCTGGGGACAGAGACCATCCGACTTTCAACTCATTCACCAGTTACTGTGACTTCTGAGGCTCCCTGGAACCCCAGAACAGTGTATGGAATCACAGTTGTCATAGAGGAGGTGCAGATACTTGGGGGGAGGGATTCTGCAGATGAGGCTCCCCTCCTAACCCCCCTCCCCTCTTTCCCAAATGGACAACAAAGCTAAGTGTGACAAATCACACAGCTTACTAAGCATTCACAATTACTTCCTCTCCTTACTCATTATTTCCTGACTAATTTTCTTTGAAAAAAAGAAAAAAAAGAAGAAAAAACTCTTGTTATTTTTAGTTTTCTGGTTAGCACAGCTCAAAGCCACCATTGTTTGGAAAAGTAGATAGGCTTTAGATAGCAGTGTGAGGATATTCTAGAAGGTAAATTTGCATATAGATCTTATTAAGGAGCCTGAATCTGGAAGCAGTTTGAGGACTGAGGTGAGAATGTATGTGTTTGCAAAATCCACTGTGTGTTCCTCACCTTCCACCCTGACCTCTCTTCCTCCCTGCTGGGCTCATCTAATTAAGAACACCCATACCAGCTTCAGGTATTTTCTTTGACATTTTCTTCTGAAAGCCTGTTCAGCCCTGTGATACTGGGTTGCCACCCTACTGAATGCTTTCACTCAGTCTGTGTTTGGCATCTATCTCTGCACTTATACCTGTCTTGTAGTAACCTTCCTGTAGATTGTTGGTGGCCTGAAGGAGACTCAGGCTGTGGCTGTCTAGAACTATTCTAAATGGAAGTAAGGAAAGATCGTTGGAGATCCACCATTCCACGTTAGGAGGGAAGAAAGGAAGGGAGAGGAGGGGGGAGGAGGAGGAGGAACTGGGGTACAGAACACTTGGCAAAATCAACCTCTCTTGTGTGACTTGTAAGTCAGCAACTTTCACATTTTATTCGTTCTTTCTGATTGCTTTTCAATATAACTAGGTGAGGGATTATAAAATTGCTTTAACTAAAGACTTGTAGGAAAAATATGATTGGGCAACATTGAGCAAGTTGGTTAGTTAATAGACATCAGTCAGAAATTGATCTTAGGTCTTCCCACTCCCAGCCACACACCCACTCACCCTCAAGTTCAGTGAGCTAGATAGAGATGCATGTGGGTGAAAATGTGTTTCTTGATCATTAAAAAGGATGTAGAAAATTCAACATTAATTTAATGTGAAGAAGTCTCTTGGGGTTCAGTGAGATGGCTCAGCAGTTAAAGGCTCTTGTCGTACAAGCCTGACAACATGAGTTCTATCCCCAGAACCTACAGAAGGAGAGAACCAAAGGTTGTCCTCTATATGTACACAGGCACTGTGGCACAAGCTATTACACTCACACACACATTTTCTGCACACAGACACATGATAAGAAAAAGAAAAATAAGAAGTCTGGAATGTGGTGTCCCATGTCTTAAATTCCAGCACTTGGGAAGAAGAGGCAGGTGATCTCTATGAGTTTGAGCCCAGTCTGGTCTGCATAGCGAGTTCCAGACCAACCAGACCTGAGAGAGAGAGAGAGAGAGAGAGAGAGAGAGAGAGAGAGAGAGAGCCTGACTTACAAACCATCCATTTTTAAGCTATGGCTCCTCAGAATCTATACTATGCTAATATGTACTATTATTATCTAAGAAGAGGCGATATCTACTATTTCTTTTTTATGGAAACTTTTTGGTGAACATCAATTGACTGATAACTCCTGAATGGTGATATTCTGGGGAAAGTAGTTTATGCATTTCTAAAGGTTAATTCTATGTTACCAGTACATTTTGAATGGTCACCAAATCTTCAAGTGCAAAGATAAGCAATTGTATATGTGCATGTGTGTGTGTGTGTGTGTGTGTGTGTGTGTGTGTATGTGTGTGTATGCATGGGCATCTACAAATAGTGTGTCTGTGAAAATCACAGAGGTGTGCTTCTCTGTGATACTTCCTCTTATTCCCTTGAGTCAGTTCTCTCACTGACCCTGGAGCTGACTGTTGTTGAGGATAGGCTAGCTGGCCAAACCCCAGAGACCTTGTTATTGTCTCCATCCCAACAAGTTAGGTTACAGGAGGATGGCCATGCCTGGCTTGTTTTTACTTGAACACTGAGAATCTAAAGTCAAGTCCTCCTGCTTGTACAACAAGCATTCTTACCCACAGAACTATCTCCCCTGTCCAGAGAAATGCACTTTTTAATAGAATTTCAGGCATTCTACCAAATGTGGGAGGTGTTTTGTACAGCCATAGTCACTCATCTTACTCAAATGTTAGAGTTTTCTTCTTTGATTCTAAAGATATCTTTGAGCATTTAGTATAACATTCAAACAGATATCTGACTGTATAAAAACTTCAGAGAAAAAAGTCTTCCACAGCTTTTCAACACCAGTAACATTTTTGTTCTTTTCCTAATGGATCTATTTTTTTTAATGTTGTCATTCAAACTGCTTTTGCTAAATAGAAATATATTGATTTAGTAATTCCCAACTGTAGTGGACATCCATAATTTTTTTTTATTTTTGGTCTTTTTGAGACAGGGTCTCCCTATTGCCCCAGCTGGCCTGGAACTCACTATGTAGACCAGGCTAGCCTCAAACTCACAGAGATCCACCTGCCTCTGCCTCCCAAGTGTTGGGATTAAAGGCGTGCACCACCCCCAAGGGACATCCATAAATTTCAAAAATTATTTTACTATTTTTATTTTATATGAATCAGTGTATTATCTACATGTATGTAAGTGCACCTGTGTCATACAATGCCCATGGAGGTCAGAAGAGGTTGCCAGATCCCCTGGAACTGGAATTAGTTATGGTCAGCTGTTAGCCACCATGTAGGTGCTGGAAACCAAACCCAGGTCCTCTGAAAGAGCAGACGGTGTTCATAATCATGGAGTTGAGCCATCTTTCCAGTTCAAACATCCATAATATTATAAATTATTTATTTAATAACCATATAATTAGAAGAGGCATTTCCTTACAACAGCATTGACATATTCAATAACAATTTCCAGAGCTAAGATGCATCTTAATAACCACATACTTAGAAGAAGCATTTCATTACAACAGCATCGACATATTCAATAACAATTTCCTGAGTTAGGTTTACAGTTGAAGTATTACAGTTATACAATATTTAGCCTTTAAAAACTATCTCCATTTCATGAAATACAGAGTTTCATACAGAAAAAAAATCATTATTAATACAATTGACATTAAGATGCACATGCGTTTCTAATCTCTATATAGCTGATTATTACTAGTCACAGCCAGTTACTTTCTGAGCTCCTTGGCATCTGAGCATGGATTTAAGTCATCAGGTAGATTTCAATGGTAATGTTTTTCACCTCTACTAATTAACATGAAGCAAATTTTTATGCTTCTTCCTCAAATATAACAAATTTTTTATTTGTTGATTTTTTGTGTTTTTCATACAGAACATCACAAACAATCTTATTCATCTACATACCCACATCCCAAATGACAGCCCCCATAAACTTTCCCCCCTCCATGGACCCGTATACTTTGTCATCCCTGTTATTGTCCACTGTGTTGTTGGTGCCCCCAGCCATTTCCCAGTGCTCGTCCATCCACTGAATCTTGTCAGCCTATCTAGAGTTCCTTGTTTTAGGGAGCTCAGATCTTCCTCATCTAGCAGCAATCAGTTGCCAGTATTCCTTTAGAAAATATTAGGGTCTGATGTTCATTGTCCCAATTCTATGCTGGGTTACTGTTTGGGTACTCTTATCATATGTCGATCCTAGAACCAGACTCTGATAAATAAGTATGCAACCAGACATAACTACAGGATCCAGGATAATGGAAAGGAAACAGGGAGGTAAAGGAAAAGAAAGAACCTGAAAGAGAAGAACAGTAGGAAACAGGCCTTAATAAGGGAGATATGGATAAAAATTGGGTTAGTTTAAGGGAGGGGTGAGGGAAGGGTATATAAGGAACCTAGGAGATAAAGGGAAAGAAGGAGCTAAATAGAGGTAAGACCATAGGAGAAGGGTCTTAGTAAGGGAGAAAGGGGGGAACTGGGGGCACCTTAAGAGGAAAAACCATGATAGAGGGGTGAGACAATGTGAGAGATAAACAATGCCTATAGGAAACCAGGATGCCAAGCCCTAGGGTGAGGTGAGCCTAAAACTTATAGGTCCAGGCTGCCTTCTCTGCTAATAGGGAGGGGCACTGAAAACAGTGGCTCCAATAATCCCTGCCTTGCAGAACACTGTTGGGCTGGCAGGAGGAAGCAGCCCGGTCATAAAAGTGTAGGCTCCCTGCTCTGTGGGAAAGCCTCTTGGTCAACAACCCTTAGCTCATCTCCTTGTCCTGAACAAATAACTCAGCTATCCCTGGCTAAGAGATTAGGCCAGGTTAAAGGTTTACTCCTGAGCTAAAAGCTAAAAGTTCACCATGCTTTTAGCTCTAAGAAAGAAAATATTGTGGCCAATAAATTACTGGATGGGCATTGATAACCTTGAGTAAAAGTTTAAAAATCCTTCTGGCACCAACTAACAGACTAAATGTCCTGTTTCTTTGTACCCTAAATCTTTGTATGTGACTGTCAAATCCCACGTGACTG